CCATCCAATTATTCATCCAACCATCCAATTATTCATCCAACCATCCAATTATTCATCCAACCATCCATTTATTCATCCAACCATTCATCCAAATATCCAACTATTCATCCAACCATTCAGTTATTCATCCAACTATTCATCCAACCATTCATCCAATTATTCATCCAACCATTCAGTTATTCATCCAACATCCATTTATTCATCCAACTATTTAGTTATTCATCCAACCATTCAGTTATTCATCCAACCATTCAGCTATTCATCCAACCATTCAGTTATTCATCCAACTATTCATCCAACCATTCAGCTATTCATCCAACCATCCATTTATTCATCCAATCATTCATTTATTCATCCAACTATTAATCCAACCATTCATCCGATTATTCATCCAACTAGTCATCCAAACATTCATCCGATTATTCATCCAACTATTCATCCAACCATTCAGTTATTCATCCAACTATTCATCCAACCATTCATCCGATTATTCATCCAAATATTCATCCAACCATCCAAGTATTCATCCAACCATCCATTTATTCATCCAACCATTCAGTTATTCATCCAACTATTCATTCAACCATTCATTTATTCATCCAACCATTCAGTTATTCATCCAACTATTCATCCAACATTCATCCGATTATTCATCCAACCATCCAACTATTCATCCAACCATTCAGTTATTCCTCAAATTATTCATCCAACTATTCATCGAACAATCCAGCTATTCATCTAACAATTCAGTTATTCATCCAACTATTCATCCAACCATTCATCCAATTATTCATCCAAATATCCAACTATTTATCCAGCCATTCAGTTATTCATCCAACCATCCAACTATTCATCCAACCTTTCAGTTATTCATCCAATTATTCATCCAATTATTCATCCAACCATTCAGTTATTCATCCAACCATTCAGTTATTCATCCAACCATCAGTTTATTCATCCAATCATTCAGTTATTCATCCAGCCCTTCAGTTATTCATCCAACCATCCATTTATTCATCCAACCATCCACTTATTCATCCAACCATCCATCCATCCATCAGTCATCCATCCTTCCATCAATCTTCCATCCATCCAACCAACCATCCATCCATCCATCCATCATCCATCCATCAATCATCCATCCATTCATCATCCATCATCCATCCATCCATCAATCATCCATCCATCCATCCATCATCCATCCATCAATCATCCATCCATCAATCATCCATCCATCCTTCCATCCATCAATCATCCATTCATCCGTCCATTCATCCATCTAACCATCCATCCATCCATCCATCCAACCATCCATCCATCAATCATCCATCCATCCATCAGTCATCCATCCATCCATCCGTCAATCATCCATCCATCAATCATCCATCCATCCATCCATCCATCCATCTATCCATCCATCCATCCATCAGTTAGTCCTCTTCAGTATTGTCTTCTTTGTTCATGTTGTCTGTTAATGACAGATCTTCGGTCACCTGTGTGTTTTTCTTTGACCTTTGACCCTGCAGCCCGCACTCTGAAGAATGTCCTCCACTTCCTCGTGGACATCGGAGACATCTGTAACGACAAACTCGGCGTTCCGTACAGGAAGTGCCGGGATGTGTTTGCCGAGGCTCGGGTCGACTGCACCAACCTCCTGGGAGACTTCAACTTCCTGTGTGACATCGTGGACGGCTTCCTGCCGCTCTGCAACATCGCTCGAGGTGTGTTCACTGACATCAGCACCAGTTAAAAAACTAAAGTTAGTGTTTACGATTAGTTCATGGGGTTCAGCTGACTGTTCTGTTGAAGAAAAACCTGATCAAATCAAACTTTTATATTTTGACTGTAGTGCAGCCTGAGTTTACATAAAGTTGGGACATTTTGTGAAATATATGACGGAGTATTAGGGCCACACAACAAGATTTTTTTATTAATATTACGAGAATAAAGTCATAATATTATGAGAATAAAGTCATGATATTACCAGAATGAAATCATAATATTGCAAGATTAAAGTCGTAATTTTTACAAGAATAAAGTCATAACAATATGAGAATAAAATCATAATATTATGAGAATAAAGTCATAATATTACAAGATTAATGTCGTAATTTTTACGGAATGAAGTCATAATAGTATGAGAATAAAGTCATATTATTACAAGATTAAAGTCGTGATATTAAGAGAAAAAAGTCATAATAGCATGAGAATAAAGACATATTATTACAAGATTAAAGTCGTAATATTACGAGAAAAAAGTCATAATCTTAAATGAAGTGTCCATTTTCCATTCCTCGTTTCCTCCTTATTTTCCTCACACCTTCTGTGGACAGCCATGTTTATAAAGTAGTCTACAATGACTTGGGTCACTGTTAGTGTAATATGCTTTCATCCAAATTAGCTATGTGCGGACTACATCTGTCAATACAGCTTCAGTTTATCAGAAAGTCATTTGTACAGTTTCCAAGTTCTGCTACTGCTAATTTGATGCTAATGTGCTAAAAGATTAACAATTTATTTTAAGCAAAACTAAAGAACAACTTGACAAGTTGCTCAGCATTCCTCATTTTAATGCAGTGATAACTGCATGCTTTTTCGTGTAAAGGCTATGAGGTCATAGTACGACTTTATTTTTAGAATGACTTTAATCTCGTAATATAATGACTTTATTCTAATAATATTATTACTTTAATCTCATAATTTTATTCCTTTAATCTTGTAATAATATGACGTTATTCTCATAAATTTATGACTTTAATCTCATAATATTATGACTTTATTCTCATAATTTTATGACGTTATTTTCATATGACTTTATTCTCATAATATTATGACTTTATTCTCATAATTTTATGACTTTATTTTCATATGACTTTATTCTCATAATATTATGACTTTATTCTCATAATAATATGACTTTATTTTTAT